TCTGGTGGGCGCGCACGTGTGCGCGCCGTTTTTCAAACTGATCGGATCAGATACCTCACTTAATTCATCATCGTTTTTGGGGGCGGGTGGGTTAGTTTAGGGTCTCTCTCTCTCTCTCTCTCCCCCCCCCCTCTCTCTCTCTCTGTGATCGGAACAGATACTACACTTGATCGTCTTTGTCATTTTGGGGGGCGGGGTAGTTAGTAGGTTCGGATCTCTCTCTCTCTCTCTCTCTCTCTCTCTCTCTCTCTCTCTCTCTCTCTCTCTCTCTCTCTATCTATCTCTCTATCTCTCTATCTATCTCTATCTATCTATCTATCTATCTATCTGAGGGAAAGCAGAAGGGGGGACGGGCGTCAGAGGAGCGGAGAGTGGCAAAGATCGCAGGACACGCGGAGTAGGAGCGGTGGAGAGCGGAGTAAGGGGCGGCGGAAGTCAGGGGGAGAGGGCGGAGGAAGCAGGGAGAAGTTTACTGACTTGTGTCTGCCATCTTCAGCCGGCGTTCAGCGTCGTTGATGCTTCAGCCGGCGTTCAGTGTCGTTGATGCAGAACTCCGAACGGCCAACCACAGGCGAGCGAGTGAGAGAGAGCCACAGCTTACAGCACCAACGGCCAACCACAGTAGAGAGAGAGAGAGAGAGAGAGAGAGAGAGAGAGAGAGAGAGAGAGAGAGAGAGAGAGAGAGAGAGAGTCACGACAGGGCGCATCACAACCGGGAGCATGGCGCGCTTCACGACAACACCGAATACAACGGTCCGAGGGCGCTGCACGACAATGGCCAGTCCAACGGGAAAGTTGGGTTGGCCCGACGTCGCGAACTCCGGTAGTACCCCACGGCACTCGGCGCGTCTATCTAAGCCGTCGATCCGGACCGACGGCCTGGAGCTCGGCGCGGTCCTAAGATCTTAAGACCGCATCTATCCAGGCCGTCGGTCTGGTAGGACCCGACGGCCCAGATGGCAAATTTGTTACATGGTTCGGTTGATCTGTGCCGTGGGCCGGTAGGACCGATGACGGCCCGGATTTCAGACTGCCCGGATTTCAGATTTTTCACGTTAGCGATTTTAATAGTGTAAAGAAGACAACAATCCCGCATCAGAAAAAAGAGACTCGGAGGTACTGATGACTTAAACCATGAGTTCCACGAACTTCCACCCCACACATTCCCAAACCTCAACCCGTAAGGAAAGCAAGCCACCTTGCAGCAGTGAATGTGGCCAGTGCAGTTGCAACTGATGGTGCTTTCATTTTTCTTTTTCAATGGCTCTTTGGCAGCATCAAAGCAGGAGGCTGCCTGCAAACTGCCTGCGGCGGCATTTCACATTTTTTCAGTGGACGCAGCAAACTTCTGAAGCAAATTTCTCAAGTTGAAATTCCTTCTCACCATGTGCTTTACCACGCTCGCACGGAACTTGGCACTGATGCTGGAAACCTTGGTAAATGTTACCAAGGTTTACTTTGGTAAATCTTGGTAAGATTTTTACCAGGGATTACAGCATCAGTGCCAACTTCCGTGCAGACTTCAGCCATTGCCATTGGCGATTTAACTGTCTCCGAGAGCACACTCCATGGTATGTCCTTCAGGGCTTGGGGTTGGTCAAGGCTGGAACATGTTTCCTGTCTCTTAGTCGAGGAAATTTCACCTTGGCCATGCTTTTTCAGCTCCCGGGCACATCAATCCTCCCAGCATTACCAAGCCGCTGTGGTCACTGCAGTTGGGAACTTGGGAGTGACTTCCAATTTCTTTTGAATGGTCTTTTTGAAATGTCGTTTGTTTAAACAACCAAAAAAACAAAGAAAAGCTTGGAGTTCTTTGTCTTTTGTCACTGCAATCATCGAACACTACTAGAAATCGTTTGATGGAGTTCCTCTTTGGTTCAACGGATCCATCCTTCCTTGAAAGGATTGTAGTTCAAAATCATTTCACATTCAAGTCTCCCTTTGCAACTTTTGTTAAAACTTGTCATCTGAATTGTGATCTCGTTGTTCGACACTAGACTCACCACGGACCACCAGCACATGTCTCAAACACCCAGTTCACGTTCTCTACATTTTCAGGCCGAATAGAAATCCATTTCAAAACATATTTTCCAGAAATCCATATAAAAACATATTTTCCACTAATGATTAATGCAATAACCCATGCCATATGTCTCGTGGAAATCTGAGGGCCTACTTGGTCGCCCTCAGCTCAGGCCAAAACGGGGGAAAAAGACCCTCCACGAGAAGTCAGGGCCTGAGCGTGTGACAGTTAACTTTTGTCAACTGTCGTGACACCAACAGTCAAAGTCCAAAGGTATCCAGCCCAGGCCGCCGTTGTATGCAGGTACCCAGACAGCATCAGGTCTAAGGGAGAGTCTGCAACTGTACACAATCCAGGCCCTCGGCTGTGATTCAATCTGGACGACTGGAGGGAAGCGACTGGAGCCCAGACTGCTTCGTCAAATCCTACTTAAGAGCTGGTCTCCGGGGGTTTGACATTCAGTCTTGCTATGCTGCTTGAACGCTGGCTTGACTTTGACTCCGCTGGCGAAGTGCTGGTTCGACGCTGGCTGTGCGCTAGCACCGCGGAACACGACAGGGACTGTGTCGACATGCTGGCGCGTTCTGCATTGTGCACCAGGCATGCTGATGTGGCGCTGCCTCTGGTCTACATGGCATGCTGATGTGGCATTACCTCTGGTCTATGTGGCGCTGCCTCTGGTCTACAAGGCATGCTGATGTGGCGCCTGCCAGTAGTTTACATTGCTGATGTGGCGCGTGTCACTGGACTTCATTGATGATGTGGTGCAGGCCACCTGTCTTGACTGCTGACGTGGCATTGTCCACGCTGTCTACATGAGGTGACTGGTTGCAAGGAGTGCAAGATCGGGATCTGTGGATGATTTGGATCGGATACTCACCTGAGGTTGATGTCGTCACTGTAATCTGCCGTGTCTTCCTGGTCTTCACGAGATGAGAGTGCCACGTGGCACTATTGTGCAATCAGGATTATTATACTTGCTATCATATATTGGTTGTTGACGTGGAGGAGGAAGAAGCCCGGAGAAGGAGAGGGGTTTGACGGGATTATTCTTGTGTGGTCTTGGCTCATCTCTTCCATCTTCTCCCCTGTCTGTTCCCCCTTCATTCTCTTCGTCTATTGGTAATGAGATACTGTTTGAGTTATCACTTCTCAATTTGGAGACTTTGTTGCAGATACTGAGTCTACTTGTATTTGACAACTGACGAGTATCTGCCAGACTGGGTTCATTACATTAATAGTACTTAATACACAAATAGGTGTTGTCATTTTCAGCGAATTTTTCACCGAAACTGCAATTGCGAGGCTACGCCCGCTTAGCCCCTACGGGACCCTATTTGCAGCAAGGTCGGCCGCCCTAAGTGAAGGCAGGCACGACAGGCCCTTCAGGCCTCGTTTTTCAGGGTACCCCGCATTGGGGAAAATTCAGGCAGTTGCGCAGCGCCAGTTGGTTGAATGAACCCAGGCCCTGGGCCGCCTGTGTGAATGTACGAAGAACAGGCCCTGGGCTGGATTCAGGTACCGGGCCGAACACAGGCCGAAAGCAGTTGGGCGCATGCAACCACTTCAGGCCCAAGGCCTGCTTTCCTCGTGACTGGGCCTCAGGCTACCGGGGCCTACTGGAAGCTTCCTGGACTGGACGCAGGCAGGCCACTTCGATATAGGGAAGGGCCTGCCTCTCATTCGGCATTGGGGGTGCTGGCTGCATGATGCGCGAGCGCTGGTGCGCTATCTGCTGGCTGGCTGGCACTCACGCTCTCACGGGCGAGTAGGGAGGGAGCACGCAGCCATAGCCAAGCTGCGCTGCTGTATGCTGGGTGAAGCGCAGGGTGGTCCTTGGGTGCTAGTGGCATCTGTGCGGTGTGGATCGGGGTTGTGAGTGTAGCGCGAGACATACCTGGTGCTGAAGCGGGCGACATTGGTCGCCACATGCTCGTACTTCGGGAACGCTGTTGATGTCATCATTCTGCTTCGTAGTATAGGCTAGATAGGATCTGCCACATGTAGTCTGGGCGCCGAGCGCCAATAGGATATCAACTCTGGTTCTTCGTTGATGATGACGGGACTACTTCAGCATTGTCAATTTTGAACTCTTGGTGTGTTCTTATTTGGTGTATCTCGTGATGCAATTCTGCTGTGGTTCGAGGTCAAGGCTATCTGGACTCATATGTATGATGCTGTATGATTGCTGAAGTTCGCTAATGCTCATCTTCCTTGCACAATATTTCCCTGATTTTTTATTTATTTATTTTTTTGTGCGTGTGTCTGATATGTTACATATGTATGTGCTTTAGGAAGTTTAGGGTATATATCTGTATTCAGTTTCAAGTTTCAACATACTCGTACCAGTCACCAGTAACAAAAAAATTGACAAAAACACCAAATTCAGAGAAAATTTTGGCGAACTCTGGAAGCTACTCCCAGTAAGGTTTTATTAACTTTTATAGTGCTTTAAACTGCTTTTGAGTTCCTTTTTTTTCGATTTTTCTTACCTGTCTTTTTCTTTTGTTTTCTTTTCTTTTTCTTTCTTTTTCTTTTTTTTTTTTCTGTATTATGAGACTGCATTGTTTGTTTGCGAAATTTTCGACGATAGTGCTTGTGGTGATGCGGCAAAACAACCCGTATTTTGGGACTTCCATTAACCATTGACCATCTCTATTTTTGGAACATAAATCATTGGACATCATAGACTAACATTCTAATCCTCCTCCCCTCATGAATAGGACCAAAAATCCAAAAACGTCACTTTCCAGCATTTCTTTCAGTACAAACTACCGCCGTAAACCAGCCGACATTTTGTGCCAGCAAAGCTGTCAGGACGGATTCACGGTTTCGTTTCCTAGTAACACATGCACTCTCAGAGATAATTTTTTTGAGGAGCTCACTGACATCTGTAGCCCACCAGTTTCGATTAACATTTTTGTCAACATTTTACACAGAGTCCAGGACAAACAATTTGGAAAAAGGATCCGCTCACCTTCTTTCCAACCCATCTTGGAAAGCAGCTTATGGCCAACATTATCTGACTGGATTTTTGCGCTTTCCGCTGCTTCCAGTGCTTTTGCCTGAGCTTTCACGTCATTACACCTGGCCAAGAACTTCTGCAGCTCCTCCTCTGGTATGAAGTCGCCCATGTGATGGCCCCGGCCCGCAGCGCCTGCTGATAAAATATAAAAGACAGACAGTAGGCATTTTTCTTCAGAACAGGCATCGACACTGGGGTGGTACACAAAACAGTCTGCGACTTCGTGCTGAAACAGACAACTTGCACAACCACAGTCCATTAACTGGGACCAAGACTTGCACAGTTTTACTCTCAACGATCTCGATTATCGCTTCATTTATCTACAAGCTTGCATCCCTCAAAATGAGACATATCCTGGCTGTCCTTGGCGACCTTCCTGGCTCCAGAGGTCACTTGCTCGTACCATCGCATTGCACACACTCTCAATGTCCTTCTAACAATCCAGCAGTAGACCTCAGGTCAAACGGGAAGCGGTGTACACGTCCCATTTGACGGCACTACCCTCACAAACGCGCATTTTATGCAAGGGCCTCAGGTCAGACAAGAAGTAGTGCACACACCTAAGTGCAATAAACCCTCACAAACCAGCACTTCCCTTGGGTCTGGTTCAAACCCGGAGTAGGCCACTGGATGAAGGTCCAATTCGACAGCAAGTAGGCTAATGCCAGGAGACCCGGATACATTCACTTGCAAGCTAACAGGTTGGCCCCCATGTGACCATCTGTGCTCTCTCTCTCTCTCTCTCTCTCTCTCTCTCTCTCTCTCTTCCCATTTTTTGTCAGTTCGGATATTATCATCATAGCGTTTTCCATTACTCATGCATTTCATTCTTCATCAGTTTAGCCTGATTGCTTGATTCCCATTCTCTCTCTCTCTCTCTCTCTCTCTCTCTCTCTCTCTCTCTGTGGTTACACTGCTGTTTCCACGAATGGAATGAATGGGGGGCTAACGCTGATGGAGAGCTGTATGACGGGAAACTGTCACGTACGGTTCGGAGGGCAGAGACTCACCTCTGACCCCTACCCATTTTAGAATCAGTGACTGAGGTGAAGTCGTAACAAGGTAGCCGTAGGGGAACCTGCGGCTGGATCGACTCCTTTCCAATATACATACCCAGATTTGATTATTTGAATCCGTGTCTTCGCCATGAAAAAGCGATGTCCTATACCCCTAGACGAAAGGGACGAATGAATGTGCTTGTAGATCAATTGGATAGAGCACCAAACTACGGATTTGGGGGTTGAGAGTTCAAGTCTTTCCAAGCATGGGCCTAGGAAGCTTCCGTGGGGCAGTCCAGGCCAGTCAGGCAGCCGCTACTGGCAGCCTCATTCCATATAGGGAAGGGCCTGGCTGCGGGCTGGTCATTCGGGCACTTGCTACATGCTGCGCAAGCGCTGCTGCGCTACTGGCAGGCAAGCGCTCACAGGCGGGCAAGGTACACGCAGGCAGGCATAGCCGAGCTGGCCTGCGAGGTGCTGGATGGGGCGCATGGTGGTCCTCGGGTGCACGTGGCATCTGTGTGGGGGATCGAGGTTGCGAGTGATGCGTGAGACATACCTGGTGCTTGAGGCGAGCGGCATTGGCCGAGATCTGCTCGTACTTCCGGGAGCTGTTGACGTCACCAGCGGCATTGTAGATAGGATCTACCATTCGGGGTCTGGGCGCTGAGCGCCAGATAGGAATCGACATTGGTTCATTGTTGATGATGATCAGACTATTTCAACATTGTCACCTGTGAGCTTTTTCTGTGCTCTTATTTGGTGGAACTCGAGTTGCAATTCTGTTTTTGGTTCGAGGTCACGACTATCTGGTTTCATGTGTATGATGCTGCTTGGTTTCTGGAATTCGCTATGGCTCGATTTCCTTGCATTTTGGTATCAGAGCTGTGGTGCGTTGCGCTAATCTGGCGTCTGTCTTCTGCCTGTGCGGTACATGCACGCGGTCAGCTGGGCGAGCGACCGTGGGAGGTGTGTAGTGAGGAGGGCAAAGGCAAGCAAGCGACCCAGGCGGAGAGGGGTATCGCCAGGAAGGCTATGAGGTGGAAATGGGTGTTTCGCAGTGTGATGAGAACTATCTGATGTGCGATTGATGCTGTGGTGGAACGGCGGTGTAATGCCCGTTGTGCCGAAGCAATGATTGGTCATCACAATCGACGTCAGGTCATCTGGTGAGAATATCTGTGGTTGGGGGCAGCTAGGTACGTTGCTCTTAACCTTATCTACCCTCTTCGACACTTCTTACCGTGAGGATGTGTTCCGTCTTGAGAGTCCTCTCATGTGAGGAGTCGAGTGCGCTCAACCTTGAGAGTCGGCATTGTTCGCGTGGAGCATCTGGAAGGAGAGAGCGGAGCTATCTGAAGGGCCCTGGACGAAGCACCGTGTCACAGTCACCATGCCAACCCGCCGGGAGTAGAGCACGCATGCTTTGCTGATTTGTCCTTTGTCTGCCTGCTGCGCTGTAGATGGGTCATGAGGGGCAGGCCAGCCCTACAGGGGAGACTAGTACCGGACGTCTGCGCTGTAGATGGGTCATGAGGGGCAGGCCAGCCCTACAGGGGAGACGAGTACCGGACGTCTATAAATAAGTACCGGCGGGGTACCTTCCATTGGCTGTGATCGTCGTACTGTTTGCGACATTAAATATTGCTGAGGACTTCGGGGACCGTCCTTAAACGCCTCTTGACCAGCCAATCGGTCGGTGTAAGGCTCGCTGCACGCAAGGGTAAACATGGTGCAGGGCTGGCCAGCTCAGCATTGACTCGGGGCACAGGGGTGGGCCGTGTGCACACCTTTAGACATGCACACTATCTGGATTGCTCAGGGACCCTGACGTCAAGCTACAATCCAGAAGAACTGAGGGAGGGGTAGATTTAAGGTGATAAGTTCGGGAACAATTCCACTCTGCCAACAGTCATCCAAACGATTCTATTTTTATTTTGATTAGTTAGATGTACAGCAATTAACATCTGACAGACAGCATAGGTAGAACTTCCAGTTTCTGCTCATTTGGTTTCTGTTTGCGGACTAGTCAAGTAAGGTAGTTTCGTTTGTACGAATCTGGACTTACCTGTTGGACCCAAATGTGTATACTCTGACATTGGCACCGATTAGTCGGCCTGAGCACTACGCTGCAGTAGGCAACCGAGTGTGTCCTAGTGCAGACACTGCACAGTTCTGTAGCTTATGAGCGAAAAGGAGAAACCTGACCCGGACGATAGGATCCTGCGTTCGTCAAGACGCCCATTGGTCCACTTAGCGTTAGGACCAGAGGGTGACCGGTTTCTGTTCCGCCAGCTTAGGGAGAGGCTGCAGCAGCAGCAGAGGGCTAGGGACGCAGAGGCAAGCAGAGCCTTCGCAAGCGAGGCAGCTACTTCAGCAGCCATGGCAACCGCAGCAAAGTTCCCAGGCCAGTAGTCAGGAACTGTTGGGGCGACGCCACGACGGTCGCACAGACCCTGAGTCAGTCCGCTGGCGTTATGGCAGCCAGCAGTTGGTTTAACTCCCGAGGAGATCGCCATACAGAGAGCAAGTGCTCATGAGGCACAGCTGCAGAAGGCGTTAGATGAGATACAGGCAAAAAAGGAGAGAATGATCAGAAGAAGGTCTAGGATGCAGCGTAGACAAGCGGACGTTAGAGAGTTAGAGGAGATGGACCTGACCAATATGGAAGACGATGTGAGGACCGTGAGGCCAGCCCTTAGATGTAGTAGAGATGCAGGACTACCACACATCGCTCTTGCAGGACATTCAACGGAGCCTGGCCGTGCTGGTCGGGCGAGTTCAGGCCGCACCATCACCATCAGGGCCCAGTGCCTGGCCCGTGGTACAGCCTCCTTTTGTCCCACCGGTAACTGGAGTAGCCCCATTTGCAGTCTCTCCAGCTTCGGTGCAGGCCGCTTCCCTACTGTGTACGCCTTTGACAGGCGGGTCACCAGCAGGTTCTAGTGTACAAGTTCCTGTTCAGACAGTGTTCTCCCAACCTCTGTTGCAGACTGCCGTAACTGTGCAGCCTGCCGTCTCGCAGCCAGCACAGCCGCAGGGTACACAGCCCCAACAGCAGTTAGTGCAGCAGCCTCCACCCCAGGGTCCACAGCCTGGAGTAGTGCAGGCACCGGGACAGGGACAGTGGGTTCCCAGGACTGCCATTGCATCGCCTAAACCCTTCTCCGGAGATGAGAGGGGTGAGGAGCTCGACACATGGTTGAGGTCAGGGCCGGTCTATGTGAAGTGCAAGTTGACCTTGCCTCACGAGGAAGTGTTTGTGGCTGCCTCCTATCTAGAGGGGAGTGCAGCAAGGTGGCTAAGTGGGTACGTACAACTACAGGGATACGGTCATGACTTCCGCGCTTGGGCAGTCACCCAAAAATTGGATGATTTCCTCAAGCTGGTGGAGGAAAGGTGGCATGATCCACAGGAGGCTCAAGAGGCACTGATGCAATCCTGACTCTGAGCTCAAGAAAGTTCAGGTCAGTAAGGGATGCCACAAACGCAATTGAGCGTCTGATCTATGCGCTCCTGGAGTGCGCTATTACCCCCAGGTCTTGCTCACCACTTACCTGGACACATGGTTGAGGTCAGTGCCAGTCTATGTGAAGTGCAAGTTGACCTTGCCTCACGAGGAAGTGTTTGTGGCTGCCTCCTATCTGGAGGGGAGTGCAGCAAGGTGGCTAAGTGGGTACGTACAACTACAGGGATGCGGTCATGACTTCCGCGCTTGGGCAGTCACCCAGAAATTGGATGATTTCCTCAAGCTGGAGGAGGAAAGGTGGCATGATCCACAGGAGGCTCAAAAAGCCACTGATGCGATCCTGACTCTGAGCTCAAGAAAGTTTAGGTCAGTTAAGGGATGCCACAAACGCAATTGAGCGTCTGATCTGTGCTCCTAGAGTGCGCTATGACCCTCGGGTCTTGCTCACCACTTACCGAGATGTCTTCCCACAGAGCTCAGGAATCAGTTGGCAGGCGAGGCCATGATCGTAGTCCACAACTTTCCTTTGTTTAGCAAGAAGGCCCTAGATCTGGAGGCAAAGATCGGGCATGGGCACCGACCCACTGCGGGCGGTAGGAAGAAGGCATTGCCTCCTAACTGGAAGGCTAAGGGTCTCATTATGTTCGTCGATAACGGTGGTTCTACCATAGAGTTAGACTACGACTTCCCGTAGGGTCAGAGTCGGGCAGCGTAGAAGCTTCATGGGTGGAGCAGTCGCTGCCTCAGTTCAAAAAGGTAAGGCGGCCGGTAGACACCGTGGAGGTTCCCAGTCTAGGAGTCAAGTAGACCCCAACGCTTCTCCATGGGAGAAAGCAGCAGGTCTTACTGAGGACGTGTGGACAGACCGTTACTCCCGGGCAGCTTGTGTCCGTTGTGGCCAATATGGCGATAACCAATTCAAGTGCCGGAACAAGAAGGTGACAAAAAAGATCCCGCCTATGATGGGGCAGGCGGCGGTCTCCTCCGCTTCCCCGGGTAGCAATGTAGCCACCAGTTCTGATACTGCTTCGGGAAACACGTCGGGCCAGTAGCAATTGTAGTTGTTCCTTCTAGGGTCGAGGTGGTGGACACACCGTCACCATCTCGAGAGATGGCCCAAGCTATTCACTCCGTTGTCGTCCCGCAGACACATTCGGACCAATTGATCCTTTGTTCAATGAATGTGTTTGAATCCTTAAGAGGAGCTAGAGGTGGAGTGGTCTAGATCGAACCCGCTAGCTTTTTGGACGGCCATGGCTGAAGCTCCTAAGGGCGAGTTGTTCGTCGATGAGATAGAGATAGGCGTCCATAAGGCCAGGGCCTACTATGACACTTGCTTGACGAGGAACTTTATCAGTTGCGCGTGCGTTGAAAGGCTGCGCTTACAAGGGCAAGTGCAACGCCTGAGTCGATCTGTGGAGTTGACATGTGCCAACAAACAGCGCATGGTAATCATTGACAACCTCAAGGACAGTGTCGATTCCTGTACGTGGGAGGGGAACTGACCCTGTGGGAGATTCCCTGAGACGGGCTCAGCCACTTGGGGCCTACCGGAACCTTCCATGGGGCGGTCCAGGCCAGCCAGGCAGCCGCTACTGGCAGCCTCATTCCATATAGGGAAGGGCCTGGCTGCAGGCTGGTCATTCGGGCACTTGCTACATGATGCGCAAGCACTGCTGCGCTACTGGCAGGCAAGCGCCCACGCGCTCACGGGCGAGCAAGGTACACGCTGGCAGCCATAGCCGAGCTGGCCTGCGAGGTGCTGGATGGGGCGCATGGTGATCCTTGGGTGCACGTGGCATCTGTGTGGGGGATCAAGGTCGTGAGTGATGCCTGAGACATACCTGGTGCTTGAGGCGAACGGCACTGGCCGAGATCTGCTTGTACGTCGGGGAGCTGTCGACATCACCGGCGGCATTGTAGATGGGCTACATAGGATCTGCCATTTGTAGTCTGGGCGACGAGCGCCAGATAGGGAATCGACATTGGTTAATTGTGTTGATGATGATGAGACTATTCCAACATTGTCACTTGTGAGCTTTTGCTGTGCTCTTATTTGATGGAACTCGAGTTGCAATTCTGCTTTTGGTTCGAGGTCACGACTACCTGGTTTCATGTGTATCATGCTGCTTGGTTTCTGGAATTCACTATCAACCATTTTCCTTGCACAAGGCCCGAGCCTTGCAGAAAAAGCAATTCATCACCTACGAATTTGAGAAGCTAGGGGCTGCTGGACCACAATGTATGTCGGACCCAGCCAAGAAAGAAAATAAGTGCACCACTGGCGATTTGGCAAAGCTTGGCACGCAGTGAGTTCCACCAGGCCTGGTGTACTGGTGTTTCAAACAGCCAGCACATGGCCCTAGCCTTGTAAAAATTATTTCACCACCTACTCCGAAAAATATGTGGCTTGGGCCTACCAGGCCACAATGGCTGGCGGCGCCAGCCAGAAACAAAAAATGCGTTCGCGGCTTGGGCCTACTGGACCACAATGGCTGGCAGCGCCAGGCAAAAAAGAAAAAATTGTGCCGCTGGTGTTTCGCCGAAGCTTGGAGCGCGGTGCAACGCCTCCAAGCCCGGGTGTACTGGTGATTTAACAGCGGTTACACCCATCCATGCAGCTATAGCGCCCAACAGCAATATACTAGTATTCAGTGCATGTCAATGTATGACAAAGACCTTTCCACATTCGCGATGTAGTCAATACTTGATACAATATAGGAATAAGTACTCAAAGAGCAATCCGACTTACGCATGTACTTACAGGCTGCCCCTGTGCGGTTCTGAGAAGATTCATTGGACTTGGAAGGCTTTCGTAGATCCTGCCTCGCCGCCTTCTTCATGAAGTATTCCATCATTGTCACGGAGTCAACTTCTCCCGCTGATTGACCTGATTACAGAAAGAAGCACACACTCCCATCTCAATCCTTATCCCAACATTCAGCTATAAAAGACAGAATCCTCAAATTGTCCCCACTAAACCGAACTCAAACTCTCCTCCAACTAAAATGCACAAATTTGTCCCCAGTACCACATTCATTGCACATTTCATGTGTCCCCTCGCCTGGTTCAGACCTGCCTGTCAGAAGGGCTCAGCCGCAGTCGTGTTAGGATGCATACATACTCAACCTCTTTCAGAAAGATAGCACAACACATGCTACCGTCTTCACCCGAATAGAACGCCCGGTCATTATAGCTGTATTTGGGGCAACTTCCAGTCCAGATACAGCGATAATTACCGGGCGTTCTATTCGGGTGAGGACACGAGATTGAAGTCCTTCATTGATCGACGACTTTCAGATAAACACGAGATTATATATCCCATTGCCCATACAAGCACTTTCTAAAAACCCTACCCAATGTCAACAAAAAAAAAACACAGAACCAAGCCAAAGCGCCAATGGGCAACTTTCCAGGAGCTGCCCCCATTAACACACTTAGTTTGGTGTAACTGAGTCTTTTTTCGTTTTCTTGGTTCATCTGAGGCGGCCCACCAACCACTTTCTAAAAAGCCTACCACCCAATGAAACACTGACCAAGCCAACCTTCTCTAAGTTTTTCTGGTTGAAAAAGAGTTGATGACTACCGTCTTCGCCCGAATAGAATGCCCGGTCATTATAGCTGTATTTGGCACAACTTTCCGTCCAGATGCAGCGATAATGACCGGGCGTTCTATTCGGGTGAAGACGGTAGGCGTTCTGACCGAGCACATTTGCATGTATTTGAAACCACCCAACAGACAGATATAGCCAGAGAAAAATCTGCACATTCTAGTCTATAAGAGATATGACTGCGCATGGCAGGAGAAAGAACTGCCTTCAAAAGTTCTTCATCAGGATCCAGGGCAAGTCTAGATACCATTGAGACAGTCTCATTATCTTTTCTTTTCCAATCTCATTATTCTTTCTAATCTAGTGCTTACAGAGCGCTTCAGGGATTGCTAGATTGTCTTCATTCATTCTCCGAAACCCAAAAATCACAACTTTCTTCAAGGTTCCGACTTGAATTGCAGCGACACCGCATGGGAGAAGTCCTCTGCAATTCACCTTTACTGATTTCGCTGAGCGGTCCGTACACGTGTGACTGTTAATAAACAGATCATGAGGTCAAATCCTCTGACAGGATACAGAAGCATTACACGCTGCCCCGAAATTAAAAAAAAAGGGGGCGGCTATGACCCATGCATGCACAAGGAGAGCACACAAGGGGTTGTTCTGACAAAGCAAACAGCTGAGATGGCACGAAAGATAAGATGCTTGAGCCCTACCTGCTGAAGCTCCTGCCGATGCAGGCGCTGTGGAGGAAGGCACTGGCATGGCGTCATGAAACTTGGAAGGTCTGCTTGAGAGGTCATCGGAAGTGTATAGTGCAGAAGCAGGTGTTTGATATCTCGTAGGAACCGATTGGCCTTCCTTTGGCGGAGGACGATGGGATCCTGCAGCACCTGCACACACTCAAATGACTATTTCGTCACAATATGAACCAGCAAAATTTCAGAACTCTTTGAAACATAGACAAATGCACAGGTGGAGAGACACAGGAGACAGCAGGATTCGCCCGCCCCCTTTCGTTAAAGTCAGGAAAAATCAAGAGTCACAAAGCCAGCCTGAAGTGGGAAGGTTGTATGCAAGTGGCACGCATGGCCCCCAAAACATGCATATACCCCCCTCACGAGTGACACCAGATATCAAAATTCCAAGACTAGGCAGCACAGCACACATCGAAATCAGCACAAAAAAAAGCACCAGAAACAGGTGCTGCCTTTGGGCTTCCACTCCAATCAGGCTGCCCCAATCAGCACCAGAGTCGGAACCAATGTGAACAGCGAAGTAGAAAAGGAACCTGAACAAAGTCAAAGTTGAGTCACAGAACAGCATAGGACAAGACAGCCCTGTAGGGTTTAGTGAAGTCTTCAGACATAAGCCCAACTAGCTCTTTCAGCAACCCACGCAAATCTGACAGCCTTACAGCTGATGGGGACAAGCTAGAGAGGGCCCCTACATGCAGGCTTCAATTAGTAAACAGCAGGACCGTAAGACAGAGTAGCCCCCTAGTCAAAGAGTAAGACAACCAGGCTATAACTTAGGCAGGGGTGAGGGGTCATACATCCTTCAGGAAGTAATCAATGCCGTGCTTCGGGCCTTCCTACCATAAACGGGAGGAGCGTGTGTGAGTACTCAGTGTAATTCCTTCTGACTTGCCAGTGGAATAGATGCCGGACTGTTGCTCCCCAGAATGGAGAAAGAACCAGAACCCTAGTCAAAGTTGAGATCCACGACTCCACATCAAAGTTCTTTAAACACTCAAGAGTGCGTAGCATTGCAGCAAACTCAACAGAACCGCGTTTCAGTTTTGTATTTCATGTTGCTTCGGCACCTTCTAACCCCAAAACTACTGCCCTTCACCTGCTTCTCGTCAATGTGTTCAATCGACACCTGCAGCTCATAATGCAATTACCTCGAAGACTGAAGGTATTCATCATCAATTTGGCGATCAACATACCTAATCCCCAAAAGCCCATCACCAAGGGGTGCCTGGGGTAGGTAAGCCAGTGGTAGGTAAGAATCAGTTAATCCCAATTCATTAGCTTAGTCCCCAAAAGAAAACCATCCCAACTATGGTCGCCATAGACTTCCATTATCTACAACCACATTGTCCCCTGTCTCTTATACACATCTAGATGTGTATAAGAGACATAGGTAAGCCAGTGGTAGGTAAGAATCAGTTAATCCCAATTCATTAGCTTAGTCCCCAAAAGAAAACCATCCCAACTATGGTCGCCATAGACTTCCATTATCTACAACCACATTGTCCCCTGGTGCTCCCTGTCAGTCAGTGCCATGATGGGTTAGATGGGTTAGTAAAAGGCAAGTGGTGGCAAAGAGAGAGAGAGAGAGAGAGAGAGAGAGAGAGAGAGTTGCTTTTTCTTCCTTCTTGGTAATCTGATCAGTATGATGCAAGAATGGATAGGAGTTCTACCGCACGAGGACTCGCAATCCCTTCCACCCTCATTTCTTCCAGAGCTTCCAATTACTTTGGATTCTGTGCCAAAGATTGTTGCAAGAATGGTGGCAACCATCACAGCAGAATATAACCTTTAGTCAACCACCAATAGCATATCGCAGATCACAGAGTCCACAAAATATGGCCCAGACTGAATGCCTTCACAGTTCTGCACAAGGGCAAGTAGCGGACCTTCACAGATGACATGCCCTGTAGGTCATAGACCATAGTGCATAGTCCAAGGTACCCATGATAACACCTGCAAGGAACATAGTATTTAGGACTTCTTGTACGTGGTGCACAAGTATGTCTGTACGTAGTGCGCAATTAAAACAGACATACACAAAGGTAGTGAAAGAACTACGTACTTTGGCTGTCGCGAGCTGTGTAGTGAAAGCACAAAACAGCCCAGACTATGGCTGTGGCAAGTGGGAGCCTAACCACTCTCAACCACCCCCCCCCCCCCCCCCCCCCCCCCCCCCCCTCCCTCCCCGCAGTAGTGTACAGCCCGTACGTACCACCAGAGGACAGGTGACCCCATCAGCACTGATAGCAGCGCACTTCTCACGTGCCGAAGTCGCATCCTCAACAAATGACCCGCTAGGATTTTCCTTTGCTTTCCATTGCACAAGGGTTGGGTTGCTTGAAAGGTTCAATTACCAAGTCGGACGTCGGCTTTGAGAACCCCAAAAACGGTGAGACAGACAGGATCTTCATGGTGCTGGTAAACTATGCCCAGCCACTTACGCCATCGATGGCAGAACCAACATCAGGGAGAGAAGAGACCCTCATTGGTTGTGCCTTGAGGCCTGCAAGATGGGGGGGATCAGAATGCCGGCTAGCCGTTGTTCACGGCCTGGCATCAGCAGGTGGAATCACTCACTGATATTTGCTAAAGCAGGCGATGTCCTTCTGGGACCCGTAGTGGGCAAAAAAGGGCAGCCAGGCCAATCCCAGGTCCCAAACTGTACAACGCACATATTGATAAGATAATAGAACAGCCCTTAAACCACGAGTACATCCGCACCTAAAATCCCGAAGCTACCTGCCCACTGTGCGCCGCCATTTTCTGAGCCTTCTGCATGAGGGTACCTGCAGTGGGAATTTCGGAAGTGGCACCGGTGCCGGCGGTCTACCTCAAGGAGAAAAAAAGGGAAAAAAAAAAGAAAGGAACAAACATGCCAGAGATCAATGACGTCGTGGAAGGACGTCATGGAGACCATACTCAAATGATAACTTTCCCGAATGCATCTGACACTATTGCGGGGAGAGGGAAGCGTTGCTGTCTTTCCTTCTCCTTTTGTTCTTTTCTTCATTTCCCTGCCAGCAAGGCAGCGCGTATTCCTCGTGCTCAAAATGCCCTCGCTGAGGGCATACTCACACTACCGCACTTTCACGGCCAAAGCTTTGTTGGCTTTTCTATTTTGTTCTTCTTTTTGTCTGACAGTCATGCTCCCCGTGTTCTTCGTTCTGCCTAAGCGCCCTCACTGAGGGCAGACACACACGGAGTACTCCAAAAAGTGTATCCAACCGCAATCACGGCCAAAGCTGGTTTTGTTTTTTGGGACGTGTGGATTTGACATGGGCCCAAAAATTCGAAAACCTTCTGACGCTCCGACCCTGCCCCGAACCCGCCTTTTACTTCTTGTGGCGACAAGTTCTTTTGCTGCAAGGCTGAGGCCGTGTACTGTTGGTTTAAACCACCACTACAGGCGCTGCGCTGCATGCCAAGCTTTTCCGAACCATCAGCAGTGCACTTTTTTCCTTTTTTGGCTGCCGGCGTCAGCTATTGTGGTCCCATAGGCCCAAGGTGGCAAGCAAATGTTCACAAGGCCGGGGCCATGTACTGGCAGTTCAAGCGTGAGCTGCCTTTTGGACTCTAGTACCCACAGATTGACAAGAATGGTGCCCGCCATCCAATTGGAAATGGCATGTACCTGCCCACCCCACGTGGCTGAATGGCACACACAGATTAGCTCAGATTCAAATGGATACATTGATGTTTGGGGCTCCGCCCTTTAAATAAATAACTAAGAAAAAAGGAAACAGGATATGCCAACAGAAATACCTCATTTCCTACCCCTGCAGGTCATAACAGTCGTATTTCACCTATCCGTAGGACCAACCACTTAGTTGCATGCCAAGTTCACTAGGACATACGGGATACTTTTTCAGAGCTTTTCGATCATTTTTATTATTTTTTCAGGTATGCACGTTATATTTGAGGAGTTGCTATATTAAAAAAGAAATGTAAAAACGAAAATCTGTCTTTCTTAGGGTTAATTAATTGCATATAACACCCCGACACACTTTCTGGGTGAAGATGGTTTGATCAAACCCGCAGTTACACAAATGATAGTAATCAAAGAGCTGGAAAAGGCGGACCTGATGATGATCCAGCTCTCTGGGAATCGACTCCCAGGGCAGCCTCCTCCTGGGCAAGCTTCCATTCATAGTATTTGTAATCTGCACACGATGTGTCAAAAAGAAACCTGTCATCAACAGTACAGACAACAAGTGTCAGAAATTCTCAGAATTAAATTCTGTAAGACAATGACAAGCAGAAATACACATCAACAAGCTGCACCCAACACTCTCACAATGGTGAGGCTATTGTGAACCGCAGATCGGAGATCATTACGATCTTCGCATTCAAAATGCAACACAAACCAGATGGGCACATCACACCTACCCACACTTGTGCTCATCATCCCTCAAATCACACACAGTCAGAGAGCTACATTGTCAAAATCATTACTCCTGCATCATGCAACACAAGCTTTTTCTTTTTCCCTGAGCGGTCAGTTGCCTGTGCATTTGTATTTCTTCTTCGCAGAATCACTGCCCAATACTGATCGTAATGAATTTGTGATCGCACAGCCTCTTAGGGATGACCTAGTCCCCCTGTCAACCTGGCAGTGCAAGGGACAGGCCCCACTGGTCAAATGTTCATGCTTAGAAAGCATGAAACTGGCCTGAAAAACGGCCGTCGAGTTCATGCTTTCTCACGCAAACATAGCAATGGTCCGGTATGGCTTCGATTGTGCTGCCCTCAGCAGCGTAGTTGCTAAAAAATATCAAGGACCAGTCGACATGGTCGAAGGAGGTGCAGACCCGCCTCACGCTTGGATCGTCTGAAATGCAACCCGGTTAACGCTAATTGAATAGAGACCAAAATGCAGTACCCAGCGAAGGAACATGACTCAGATGACGAGTGTCAATAGCAGATAGTCGCCAGACATCGGGACAATCAGGGGACGGGTTCATATTCACCTGAAAGGGGTGTCACCAGGGTTCTTTTGCCGAGTGATGTTTTCAAATTGCCTTCCAGTTTTCGCTACAAAACTCGCGAGTTTATCAGCAACTCTTTGCACATCCGGATCCGATGGTGGTGGTGGTGGAGCACCTAAATTGCCAAAAAAACACAGGTTTCTCATGTCAGCAATCACGTCTGCTGGAGGTGGCAAAGTGACAGGTGTGGGCGGTCAAAATCGCCATAACTGGAAATGGTGGATACCGATGCAACATGCGAAAGAAATGGCCATTCCAACATGTACCGACAACCCCATTCCAACTACAGATAAGTAGGTACGAAATACCTCTTTCTCAATGCACATAGTTCAATAGCAGCTGCACATAAACCATGCTAACATTGACCTGTTCAGCCCTCACTTGCAAAAGAAGAAGAGTACGGCCAGAAACCTTCTTGATCCTGAATATGACGTGAAACATCTCTTCCTTTGTTTTTGTCAGTTCAATTATTATCATCATAGGTTTCTCCATTACTCGTCCATTTGATTATTTAGCAGTTTAGCCTGATTACTTGATTCCCATAAACTCTCTCTCTCTCTCTCTCTCTCTCTCTCTCTCTCTCTCTCTCTCACACACACACACACACACACCCCCACACACCCACACAG